GATTTTGGAATTAATTAGGTTAGACATATATATAACAAACAAATATATCCATCTATAAATTTATTTATATTTGCTATATATTCATCAACAAAATTGTTCTACCTTCGGTAATGGCACTGCTTGGATTATTGACTTGCACACTGTGGTCATCAACTAGGCACTTTTTCTGGGCTTACAACAAATACATTTGGGATTGATGGTCAGTTATGCTTTCTCTGTGCCAATGCTCATTATTGAATAAAAAGCTATTAGACTGAATAGGAAGTGATTCAAAACATTTTTTATTTAATCTTGTTTTTTAAAGTTACTCCTTGTGTTTTCCATATTTCATATTTTATGGTATGTTTATAACCTGTTCAGAGTTATTAATGGTTGACATGAAATCAGTGAGAGACTATTCCATTGTCCCATTTCAAAATCTAAAAGTCACCATTCTTCAGCAAAAATACTTCAAAGGAGAATCAGCAGAAATGTGACAAAACATAATTCATCATCTGTATCTGTAAGCCCAATTCTTTAATTTAGCCAAATAAGCTGAAATAAACATTTAAGAAACCCTTAAATGAACACTTGAGTGAAGTGTTTCTTCATCTGAAGATCATCATCTGCATCTGAGGAAGCATTTACATTTTGCTTGAAAAGTATCTTCAGTCAATCTGCTGGGCCTCCTTATGCTGTAAGAACTTTTGTTGCGTATTACAATCCTGAAATTGCTGATTACAAAGGAAACTACCAGTGCTTCTAATAGCTAAGCATTTTTTTATTACAAACCATATTGCATAGGAAAGAGTGGCCAAAAATTCATTCATGACCCAAACAATGTGTTTCTTTTATAGTAAGCTAGATCAGGAAACAGCCAAGAAATTCACTATCCATTGTAAGGGCATAATAACAGAATCTTGAAAGCCTGACAGAGTTACTCTGCCCCTAAGGATTCTCTGATATAAGAAAATCAAGGATGATAAACGAGTTTCACACCCCTTCCTCATTTGCAGGCCTGTTTACCTAACCACTCTTGCACTTTTTCAAGACTAGCTCTCTATTCCTTTACACTGACATATATTCTCATATATTTTCCTCCAAAATATTGACCTATTTAAAATTGTTCCATTTCCTTTAATTAAGTGCCTTTATTTGTATAACACCATTTCTATTTATTTGAATACTGTGATCAGAAATTAATTGATGTCTGCAACATTTGCAAAAGTGGAAATTATTATTGGTCTGTCTAGTCCCACCCAACAGTGGTACAACTGGACTCTTGTAGTCAGTTGAAGTTATTTTCCTTTCTTGTGGAAACATCCACTTACCTTGTTAAGGTTTTCCCCCACAGGGAATTCTCTTTCCACTGCAGGAAAGACTGGAAGATTGCATTGGGAGACTAATATAGTCAATTGTTACACTAGAGAAAAAAATAATTGTGAATGAAAATCAAAATTTGACCTCATTGGCCAACATCGAGCCCTGTTTAAAAGCCGGACTATCAGTTTATCTCTACAGGATTTAAAATATGAAACATCTTTAAAATAGGCATACCCCACCTTGTGAATGTCAGGATCCTTGGTTTCAGTCTAAACTACTATGAATCTTCTAGCATTGGACTGACTGTAAGATTCTCTTTCTGTAATAAAAGTGAATCCTAAATTACTTCTATTGGAAAGGGAAAGTTTATATTTTTGAAGTAAGTTGATAAATTGGATAGTGTTTTATTCATTTGATTTTTTTAAAAAATATTATGACAGGCAACACAATAGAAAATGCTTGTAAGATTATCAAGGAGTCATTGAGGGTTGAAAGTTGCAGCCTTACTCATGTTAACATATATATAAACTACATTATATATACTCAAGTATGGAATTAAACATAAATTGATGCATGGATTAAAGAAATATTTAACACAAGTGAAAATATATTGATGGAATATTTTTATCAACTTTATAATTGTTTAGAAAACCCATAATAAAAAGAAATAAAATTATATCATAATTTTTGGAATAAAATAATTTATCATTTATGTAATATGCTTCTTATTGTTTAACAGAATAAAAAAGGGTATTAATCACAAACAGTTACATTAGAATAATGTTATGGTTGAGACATAAATTATGGAGAACTAATTCCATTGCTAATTGCTATTGGAGCTTTAAATTAGCCCTGGTGGGGCAGTGGATTTCATGTCTCCTGTTCCAGGTGGTGATACCAACTTACGCTTATCTCAAATGAATCTGCCCTTGGGCAGGTATGTATGCTATTGTAAGCCAATAGTTTGAGAATGACATAGTCTGGCATTGAGGACTCTGATGGAGATCAGCATATGCCTACGCTCAAGCAGGCCTTTTAGAAGGAGTAGGCAGGGGTTCCCTGCTTTCGTGGGTTTATGGCTCAACCTTGGCATTATTGTAACGTAGTTTTTTGTGTTTAATGTTTCTTAGACTTGGTTTTCCATTGCCAGCATGGAAGGAACCCTAATGCATGAGTTTCAGAGGAGAAAGTAGCAGTTCTGAACCTGGTGTGTGGCTCGATCAGCAAGCGTGAGTATTAACGCTAGAGCTGTCAGGCCTTGTGAAAATTAATGAAGCCTGACGGTTACCCAGTGAAAGGTCAGAGGCAGAGCTTGCTCTTACGTAACGTTTGTATTTTGTTGTGTCTAACAACAGTTTGAACAAAGGAGAGCTTTTATGCGTGAGTCTTAGATTTATCACAGGACTCCATAGGTCTTGGCCTTTTCTTTTCCTTGTGTTGTAGCTTGATGTTTTCCTTGCATAAAACCAAAGTATTTAGTTGTTTGCTTTTTACGCCCACCTTGATTGATTTTTCCCATGCTTCTCAACTGTCCTTCCAGTCTCTGTCCAACTCAGTTACTTTTGAAACAGACAGCAGTAAAATTAATGATGTAATGATGATGAAAGTTTTGTCAATGAATTTTGAGAATGCCTGATGTTAGGCTCTCTTTGTGTGTGTGTGTGTGTGTGTGTGCGTGCGTGCATGCGTGCGTGCGTTTGTGTGTGTGTGTGTGTGTGTGTGAGAGAGAGAGAGAGAGAGAGAGAAAGCAGAGGGAGAGGGAGAGATTAGGGCCATCATACTGTTGCATTATATTTTTCAGTTTGAGATTATATGTATATGTCAATTACATTTGGCTAATTTGGAGAATATATTGATCATTTCATTCAGGCAGTAGTGCTTCAAAAGTGTTTCTTGCTTTGCCTTAGACTCCTTGGTTATATTTACCAAGAAGTCTATTCAAGTCAAGCATGTTGGGGGCAAAAAGAAGCTTAAACACACCATAGGAATTGGATTAAAGAAAATAAATGTTCCATTCTGAACAATCATTCTGACTTCTATGTTTTGAGTATGTTGGGGATAACACTGGAGGGAGCAGTTAAATTACAGAAAAGTAAGATCACTGAAATGAATGGGAAAGATGTTTAGTTAATCCTTAGGCATGTCAAAACATCTGTTTGTGAAAGATTATCTTCCCATTGCTTTTTTGCTTGATCTCTGGTCTTAACCAAGTTATTTCACCTTTTTCCTCTTTTCTCATCTCCAAATAATCAATCTTGCAAGGTTTTGAAAAATCTTCAGCCCAATATTCTGCATTATGCATTTATCTATACTTGCATAGAAGTTCATTTTTCTACACAAATAGAAGCAACCTGGAATTTATTTGTGCAAAATCAGACAACATGATTGAAATGTTTTGCTGAATAGTGGTCCTTGATTAAGCATATCACCCAACCAGTTTATATTTAGTTCAGACTTAACAGTGGGGATATCCTGTCCTCACTATTTTTATAACATTCTTAATAGGACTTTGTATAAGATACTGTGAAGTCAAAAACATAGGCCAGTCCTTAACAAAATATAGTCTAAAAAATAATTCTTTCTTCATCATTAAAAACAACAATGTTATTTGCAGTTATAGGCTCCATTCCTTAGGATATTTGGGTTACAATTCGATTTTGTACAGTTATTTTGTACACTTTACTCTAATGATAACTTCACTTTTAGCCCGTTTCTGACTTGTATAGTTTCAGCTGACTGGGATCATTCTTGAATTTTGGTACATAAAATTAAAGTGTTATATAATGTATACAAGCAACAACCAAGTATTTTAAGGCATTTCATACCCAATTTGAAATCAAATAACATTTCTGTTAAATGATATTATGTTAATATAGTCATAGGGTACAAATAAACAATCAAATTATAGCAATCAAATCATAAGCCAAGACTTAACAGGTTAACATAAAGCATTAACACTACCATATTAATTAATCTGGCATAATGTATTATTTTTGATTTTGATAATTGTTGTGTGCCATCAGGTTGGTATGTAATAGTAATAGAAAGTGCTTTCTTTCCTAATAAACTTCAGTTGAACCTTTTTCAAACTGATGTCCTTGAGATGTAGATTTCAAACTTTAGTCAGTTAGGGAATTGAAAAACCCAATATATCTGGAGACACCAGATTGGAAAGGTAAGTCTGAAGCATTAATGAGTACAGCAAGGACTGAGTTCCAGGCTGTTGTGTTTCAATGGAATACTGGGGGAAGTTTTTCAAAGATGGTAGAACATAGAACATAAAACTTGGTGGAGTAGAGCAAAGAATATTGAGTACAGCCATAACAAAAACTACATTTGATTTTTTAAAATTTAAATTTGGAGCTTAATGTAATCAATTGTATATAATTAATGTGATTAAACCCTACATATATATTAATGTTCCTGTTTTGCTAGGCAAGTGAGTTTCAGAGGGACTCTTAGAAAGTGCTTGTGATTCTGGAGTTGAGGTTGCATACTTCTGGATAAAAAGATAAATTATTCCGTAAATTCTTCTTTAATTCATCAAACCTCCAAATAATGTTAACAATATGCCTTTCTTTCTTGTGATTTTCCTTGACTAAAATCTGTTCAGTGTGAGTTTAAACGTGAAATCTGTGTTTGGTTTGGGACAGCAGTTTCTTAAAATACATAATTGCTCTGTTTCTGTATTGTTTCAGGAAACTTGCCATATGATTACAAAATAGTGATTGCTGGGAATCATGAACTAACATTTGATAAAGAATTCATGGCAGACCTTGTAAAACAGGATTACTACCGCTTTCCTTCTGTATCCAAATTGAAACCAGAGGACTTTGACAATGTTCAGTCACTTTTGACAAACAGTATTTACTTGCAAGATTCTGAGGTAACCGTCAAAGGATTCCGAATATATGGCGCCCCTTGGTAAGTCTAAAATTTCCTTTATGTGATATATATGTAATTAGTTCTACAATCTGTGAAATTCTTATCTTAACATAGTATGTAAGTTCTTCTGAATAAGGGAAGTAATAGATACTCCATAAAATCTTGTATGTTTGTTAGAAAACTAAGGCTTAAACATACTCTGGAATACTCTGTTATTTTGAATTGAATTGAATTGAATTCTTTATTGTCATTGTATGTATATACACAGTATACATATAATGAAATTCATGTAACACCCAGAGACCAGACTCAACATGCACACACACATGACAATCCTCAAACATCTCTCCACCCGCCAAAATACCCTGCCTCCTAAAAATACACAAGCATCTACACAACAAACCAAGTAATACTGTCCACTGATGATGGTCCTTAAGTTCATTGTTAAGTGCAATTATAGCTCTGAGATAAAAAGTATTCAGAAAATGTGTGGTCCGAGTTTTAATTGTTTTGTATCTTCTGCCAGAAGGCAACAATTCATAAAGATTGTAAACAGAATAGGAAGAGTCTCTGAGAATGTTGCATAATAAATTTGAAATTCAAAACTCCTGATTTTATTTAATAGCTGTATTCTAGAAGTGTAACAGATTTTTAATGTGTGTTTTTAAATGATGCAAAGTAGTTTAATCATAGCACGCTAAAAAGGTTTGTGTGTGTGTGTGTGTGTATGTGTATGTATATATGTGTGTGTATGTAAGTATATATATATATGTGTGTGTGTGTGTGTGTATCTGTGTGTGTATATGTATGTATGTATGTATGTATGTATGTATGTATGTATGTATGTATGTATATATTTGAGAGCTATAATAAAAAACCCATAACTTTCTTATGTCAGAGAGCAGAGATTGAGTAAATGGATAAAACTGCACAAATAACGTCCAATTAAGTTTGATGCTCTTTCCTTTAGTGTGTCAGCTTTCATATGAAAACTAAACTGAGCTCATCTGATTAGTATGATCTGTTCACTGCAAGGAAGAAAAAAGTGTTCTTTGAAATACACTTAATGGTGGTTATTGTAAGTCTGCTTGTTCTCACAGCTCTTTAGTCAGTTAATTAGATATTGCACATAGTTAAGATTTCATATGTCCCCATCTATGTCTCTACTAAGCATGGCAGGGTTCCTCTTCATTTAACTCCTTATGCACTTAATAGAAAATACTTAAATTGAATGTTTACTTCAAGGAATTATGACAGTCGGTTACTTTTCAAGTTATTTAAAAACTGCAATTATGATTTCCTTCTTTATGTTTGTATTATATTGGGTAATTGAAGAAAGAACTTTTTATACTTCCAGTCTATTTGAAAAACAGAAAGGATGCTGTATGTATGCATGTACATGAATAATCACATACCTGCATATATGCATAGCCAGAAACCAGGATGAGAAAAAAAGAGAATGTTATTTTGACATAATACTTAATTGTCTTGTGCCAAAACCTTTCTGCATGATTTGGATTTTAGATTACCTTCCTGATGTCTTGCAAATAACCTAAATGTAATGGGACCTTTAAAACATATTCATGGCCAACCTAGTTAAAAAAGGTTTCAATCTTTAACCACAAAAAAGAATGCAAGAGAAAAATTTACCTTACTTCAGGGATCAGCAATCTGATCTCTTCCAGTTGATTTGGACTTCAACTCCCATCAACTTGCATAGTCAATTTTAAAGGATGATGGGAGTTAATGTTGCCAGAATGGTGCAGTGGCCTAGAGGTGGAGCTTTCGCCTCACAATCAGGAGGCTGTGAATTTGATCCTAGGTAGAGGCAGATGTTTCTCTCTCTGGGTACATTGAGATTATAATTCCTGAATATGACTCAGCATTGGGGACAGGAAAGGCATCCGGCCAGTAAACACTGAGCTCCGTTCAGTTGCCCAGACTCCACCCCACAAGGGTTTATGGGGTCATTAAAAGATGATGATGATGGGAGTTAATACTCCCAACATTTGAGAAGTTGCTTCACTCTCATTTCTCCTTTAAGATCTGTTCCCCGAACAGAGTGAGGGTTCAACAAAGGGAAGGTTCACTCCTGTCTTATGTATTGGTTTTATTGTTAAAAATCTAATTCAGTTGTAACTTTGTGGGGGGGGAAATGAAATCAGAACTTTCCAAAATGTTTCCTTCCTCTTTTGTCTATTTTTCCTTTTAGTCAGCAGAAGCAATTCAAACTTTTCATTTAAATGAGTGAGTTGTATGTTGGAGAATTATCTCCAAATAAAGTAATAAACCTAAAAGTGTTGAAAATTATGCTGCTAATATCCTGTATGCAATGTGTGTATATCCAAAGTGAAGTTACAGTTATCTACATTATATTTTTATCTTCATTTCAGAGAGTCCAGGGAAGATATAGATTGGCAGCATTCACTTTGTCATAGGCTTGTATCCTGTTTTTATGGATATTAGTAATAGCCAGTAGTCTGTAGCCAAGTCCTGTATCTGAACTAAGAGCTTTTGTCATCTGCTTGCCTAACGACAAGGTATGGTCATGTAGAAAGCAGTGGGAAATGAAATTGGAATAATTGGGATTTCTTCCAGAAGTTGTTATAAAAATGTAGTGATTCACTTAACTGTGGCAGGAAAAGTCATAAAACGGGAGAAGCACATTAACAAATTTTTGGCTGTAACTTGCGGACTACCTGTACTTACAATTCACTGTTACAATCTAACGTACAGTAACTTCGGTACCTTTAGCTGCAGCTAGAAAAGCTGTTGGTAGTGAAAGCATTAAATGAAGGTGTCAACAAGTGGTAGACCAGAAGTAAATTGGAAGTAAATTCCAATTAAATTTGTAACTTTGTTTAAAGTGTGAGTCAAGAACTTTTATTATTTCCATTTTAATATGGACATTCTTCTTCTTTGTGCCTATATATTTCTCACTTCTCAGGTTTTATATAGTATAGTATATAATAGTATAGTAATTAAGAAATGCATTCTTCATCTTGTAGTCTTAGATTTGTTGAGTTATAACTTCTAAATTGGATTAAGGTTGAAGAGATCGAGTTGCAAACTTGTCATGCAGCTCATGTTAAGCCAATCTTTAAGCCCAGACTCCTTCACCAAGAAGAAATAAATGCTCTGCATTTAATTCCTAAGGCAAGAAATGTAGGGATATTCATTAAACCCAGTTATACACCATTACATTGCAAAAAAGATTCAGCATAAAACCCAATATGAATAAAAATAAATATCTAAAGAAAGTGAGCAGAACAAACAAATTTGTACATGATAAAATTCCACAAGGAGATGTGAAATCCTGTATCAAATTAATTTGTAATAAATATAATTAAAAATGCCAACAGAAGGAGTTTAGGAATAATTTATATTCCATTCAGCCAGTTAGCAGGATCATTTTCCTGGTGAAAAGCACAGGTATCTGCTATAATCTGTAATGGTAGTTTAAAAAATGTGAAAATATTCCTCTTGAGTCAAATCCCAATCTTCTAGCCTTGCAGAGAAATATTATTTGTAAGTACCGTGTTTCCCTGAAAATAAGACCCAACCATAAAGCAAGCAGATGAATCCATTGAGTGGAGCCATATCTCAATGGGAAGCTTCAAAGTTAAGTAGATGGAATAGGAATAGGAATGGAAACTGCCATATACACTTTACTCTTTGGTTTCTGTTTTTCCCCCCAGTGTGTCTCTTTTTCTGAGAGCTATATGGAATTTTTACTGTAGATTCCCTCCCTGAATTTCCTGATGGATGGCATTAGTTTCATTAGGAATGATGTTGGTGTTGCTGAAAGAATATCTTTTTGTTTTACCATAAAAATAAAGAAAAATAAAGTCTGAAACTTCTGTGATTCTACACATGGTGTTTTACAATGTGTACTATTTGGTATTATTTGTACTCCTTGGTACAAATACACTTGAGCCATTTAAAGATAATGAAATATCAACATATCTTTTTTTTAGTTAAAAAAAAAACATTGTAGGCTAAGTGGCCAAAATGAAATGGTTCCATTTTACAGAGGTGTAAAGGTGGAGACACACGCCTGCCACTCATTCAAATGGAGTGCTCACTTGTGCAAGTGGGAATGTGCATGCATGCTTTGCCTGCCACTTCCACGGCTCGGTTCCAAAAGGTTCAAGGCCCAGTAATAGACTGGGTGGATCCCTGATTTAGACAATGTATATTATTTTATTTATTAATCAAATGTATACATTGCCCATCTCACTACCTGATTCTGGCAGTTTATAAGTAGAAAAATCCCATAAAATCGTGACAAAAATAGAGTTGAAAAGATGGAGAGAATGCCCTCAAGCCACCAAACTCCCCTGTGGTTGCATCCCATTGTGGGATTTCCATGCTAGTTACAAAGCCGAGTCTTAATGCTCTCCTAAAAGTGGGCCAACCTCATCTCAGGGGGCAATATATTCCAAAAAGCAGGGGTAATGGCAGAGAAGTTTCTTCTTCCACCCCCCACCAATCATAATTCTTTAGCCAACAGACTTCTTAACGTGTCCTTTCTGCCTGACTGGACATGTTTTTTTAATCAGTACTTATTATTAACATCATCATTATTAACTTGAGATTCAGTTTGATGTAGTGGTTATGGCATCGGGTTAGAATAACAGAGTAACAGAATTGGAAAGGACTTTGGAGGACTTCTAGTCTAACCTTCTGCTCAAGCTGGAAGCCCTACACCATTTCAGACGAATGCTTGTCCCATTCTCTTCTTAAAAACCTTCAGTATTGGAGCACCCACAACTTCTCAAGGAAAGCTGTTCCACTGATTAATTGTTCTGTGAGTTCTAATTCCATGTTAGGCACAAAGCCAGCTAGCTGACCTTGGCAGGAAAGCAGTGGCAAACTTATTCTGAAAACGTATTGGCAAAAAAGCTGAATGGACATGTCCAGACAATTCCCAGGAATCAACACTGACTCAAAGATGCATAGAAACAATTATCAACTTACTATAGCTATAATAAAGAAATGTCAATCTATATTCATGATTAGTAATTTTTCTTCATACA